AGCAGGAGAGAGTGTGTAAATATAAATCAAATACAAGGTAAGCAAAAGATGTGGACATAAACTGCTTGAGCACTAGGGATGGACCCATGGGAATCCTCATGGAAATAGCAAGGGAAAAAAATGACAAGGCTTGCTTTTTATCCCTTAAAAAAACCAGAAAAACTTTTATTGCAAACCTGTTTCATAGGTGTTTTGCAGACTGCTTGGGGATCTTTCAGGCTAAATGGCATTATAAATAATATTATTTGTTTCACCTATATTAATTTTTATATGGGTTGTCATGTAAATTAGTGGATGCCACCAAATGGGGCCACTACTGACAGGTAATCAGTGGGATCAGATAACCAAATCACTCATTAGAAGACAGTGCAGAGCCTGGCCAAGGCAGGTGTCTGTGGAGGACTGCCAGAGTATTGCTGCAGAGGAGGGGGAGATGCTGGGGTTTTGCATTTGGGGGAGTGTGGGCATGGGGCCTTGATATTGCTAGAGAGAGGTGAGAAAACCTGCCTGGTGGGGTTTGTTGGGGAGAAGGCAAGTGCCTGTGCTTTTTCACACCTTGGTGGTCTCTCCTTAGCACCCAAATATGTCGAGAGAATGGAGTGTTTCTTTTCTTTCCCTTTGCAGTCCACTCTTTGTGACGTGGAAGACGGGGCGAGACAAGCGGCTTCGTGGCTGCATTGGGACCTTCTCAGCCATGAATCTTCACTCAGGACTCAGGGAATACACATTAACCAGGTGACTGTTGAAATAAATGTGAAATTAATTTGCTGAAATCTATAAGGATTCAAGGTTAGGATATTGGAGCAACGTAGTTCAGTTTAATATGCTTCTCAAGAAACCAAACCTGAGAAATGTGTGCTAATTAGTGTAGGGTGATATATCAGGATTTAGTGGAGCATGTTTGCAGCAGCTGAGTTTTGGTTGACATTTTAGGGCTAATGTCAAATCTGCCTTGCCTAACAGTCCTGACACCTTCTGCAGCACATCATTTCTCTCTGCCCGCGGTAGGTGTTGGGCAGCCCTGGGAAGCTTCCACTGGTGTTTGCTATCACACTCTATTAGGTTAGGGAGAGATGCAAATCACTTTCTCTGCAGTAGCAGAGAGAAACTTTTTCCATGGAGGCATGACCCAAGAGGGCACGGCTGAGCATCTCACACTTTTCTTTGGTGTATTAGACAGTATATCTTCTCTTTTCTTCAGTGCACTTAAGGACAGCCGATTTCCCCCCCTGACCCGCGAGGAGCTGCCCAAACTCTTCTGCTCTGTCTCCCTCCTCACTAACTTTGAGGATGCCAGTGACTACCTGGACTGGGAGGTGAGAACAGGTGCATTTGGAACTCTGCATCACTCTCTCATTCCGTTTGGGTTCGGGTTAGTACATGGTGATGTGTCTCCTTCGTTACAGGGGTGTGTGGGGATAGAAGAGACTGGAAGTACATGAAATAGGTCTGGAAAACTAGAAGGGAGGAAGAGGATGGGCTAGCAGTATGCTTTGGGTTGGGAGGGGATCTGAGTGGGAATAAAAGAGACTGGAAGAGTTTTATGGATTGGACCCAATAGGAGATGGGTGTGAATACCTGTGTAAGAACCTGGAAAATGTTCTGATGGTGTGAATAGAAACTGGAAATGAAAAGTAGTTCAGACCAAAGGTATGAATGAATTTTTAGGACCTTTTAGGTGGAAGTGTATTTAGTTCAAGAAGGATTATAAATTGGACTTTGTAGTTGGGCTATTTTTAGCATGATTCTTGTGCAGAGATTTTTGTGTCTCTTGCCTGACATAAGAGATAGAAAACTGTCAGACTTCTGACAAGACTTACCTGAGGAGAAGTGGCAGAGACACTGGTGAGGCTTGTCTGGGAAGGGTGGCAGAGGTCCTTTGTGCTGCTAAGGGAGCTACTCGTGAGACCTGCCTGGCAAGGATGCAGAGTGGGGAACAGAATATCCTTTTCTAGGCAAAAGCCAAACTAGCCACACAGAGAGAGAGATACACCGTTGTGGGAATGACAGCTCTGTCATGGACTCAGTGTTAGCAAACACGTCTTACTTGGCTGTTCATTTCCATCTATAGGTTGGGATCCATGGGATCAGGATAGAGTTCATCAATGAGAAAGGTGTCAAACGCACAGCCACGTATTTACCTGAGGTTGCTAAGGAACAAGGTGGGTTTGAGATGGCAGCCAAGTGTGTCAACACATTGTGTCACAGAATTGGGTAACTTCCCTCCATGGATTGTGGGTTTGAATTGAAATGCTGTTCTCATAGTAGTGCCACGGGGCCACCAGGCTTAATCTGTATAACTGATACTTGATACAGTTGCTGCTGGGTTTTCATCTGGCCTTTCTGTCACCCCACATCTGTGCACAGCTGTATCTGAATGTAAAAATGTTCTAGGGCTTAAGAAATAGAGAATCTCAAAGTATGGATCTTCCAGCTTCATTCAGCATTGCATCTTTCCTCTTCTGTTTCTCCCACCAACTAGGATAACTGCAGGCTGCACAGCACCAACAGGAGAGCCCCTTTCCTCCTCATTCTTGCTAAGTAGCACTCTCCAGAGGAGGGCTGGAAACAGGGCCCCTCTGGAGCACACTTCCCACTCAAATAGAGTAGTGGTCACCATGGTAGCTGTTCAAAATATTGCCTCCTTTCCTCCACCTAGCAGAGTGGAGTGGTCGCATCCTCCTGGCTCTGGGGCAAAAGACTAAGGTAGGAATTTTAACTCTGATCTCTCACATAGCAGTGCTCTGTGCTATCACTAGAACATCAACCCCAACTTTTCTATGTAAAGAGCTACGCATTAGCTTATTTTTAAGGCTTAAGGAGCTCTACTCAAGTGACACGTGATAAAACAGTTTGTGATCCCTGCAACAGAAGCAAGGAACAGACCTTTGTAAGAAGAGAGGTCATATGAAAAATGGAATTACTGTTTCACAGACCAGCTCCAATGAGTTAGAAGGGGTTGGCACGTGCAGATGGTGTGCATGCAGCAGGCCATGTATGTCCAACACTGGGGTTTCTAAAGCTCAAGAGTTTCTTGTTCTGTTGTTTGCTTTTCTAGAGCCCTCAATGCATCTCTTGTCTTTTTGAAACAGCATTTTTATATTGAAAAATTTCCCTTCTATTTGTCCGTAGACTGGGATCAGATCCAGACCATAGACTCCTTACTCAGGAAAGGTGGCTTTAAGGCTCCGATCACCAATGATTTTAGGAAAACAATTAAACTCACCAGGTAAGTTGGTGTATTTGGCATCTTTTAATTTTAATTCATAGTGTTTGGTGGGTAATTTCAAGTATTGCTTAATGTAAGTCTTCATGCCTCTTGCAGGTAAGAAATGTAGTCTGAAAGACAAAAATCACAAATGCCCTGTGTTAGGCATATAATGTACCTGGAATGGAGTGCAATATGTTCAGCCCACGCAGGATCAAAGTTGGCACTTTCTAAGAGAAGTGTCACTGGTTTTAATATTATCATCTGTGTGAAAGATAAAAAGCAGAACCTTCTGAAAGTTGAAAAGGTTGATTTTTCGGGCATTCTTTTCAATGAGCTTCCCTTTCTCAGTGTGCTCACCTGTGGATGCTGTAGCTGTTTGTAGGTGACAGCTGTCCTAAAATCAAACCACAGTGAACGTGGCTGGTTTTCAGAGTTTGCTATTCTGTACCCCCAGCTGTCCCATTGGTTTCTGCTCCCTTTATGTTAGTGAAAATTGGGACATTCAGGTTTTGTATAGAAACACTAATTTATCAGGTCGTTCCTTACCTCTGGAGAAATGAGGTGGGTGTGCAGGGTTTTGTTGGGTTTTTTGTGGGTTTTTTTTAGCAGGAGAGGACAGGGTGAAGGTTTTCATTAAAATCTGGTGTAACATGGTCTTACTGCAACTCCCAAGCACTTCGAAGCTATATGCAGTGTAGTGTGCTTTAGGAGAACCTGGAAAACTTTGGTCTCTGAAGGAACCTCACGTTTTGTGAGTGCTGATTGTGCGACATGGACTAAGTCACATATATGCTATAATAAACCTCACTTTATTTTCTTCACTAGCCTTTCAAATGTGAAGATAACCACAAAAGTAATCAATATTGAAGTACTGGTTATTTAATCTCTGAGCAAACTTTTCATGCCTTTTTTTAACACTGCAAGTGGATAAAAAGAATACCAATTGATCATTTGTTTCCTGTGTGCTACTTGAAGTGTCCCCTTGATCACCTTGAGTAGGGCTCAGCTTTTGGGACACTGAATCTAATTCAAACTCAGATGGGTTATTCAAACTACTGCATGAGGCAGCATGAAAGAAAGTAGTTTATGCAGTTAGTGGGTTCCTCTTGGCTGTTACTGGCTGTTACTGGCAGTGAGCTGAAAGGATGACTTTTTTTTATGTCCAGTCCCTCCATATTGCATAATCTGTTGACAATACTTTCTGTGCCACTCTTCCCATAGGTACCGCAGTGAGAAGGTGACAATCAGTTATGCAGAGTACATGGCTTCCCGTCAGCATTGTTTCCAGAATGGCACTCTTCATGCCCCTCCCCTCTACAATCATTACTCCTGACACACGGCTGCATGACCAGTCCCACTCCCCAGTTGCTGCCAACGGCTACGACATCATCGGGGCAGACGCCTCCTCCTCCTGGTCCAGTTACTTCTATTACTGCACCATTTTATGATGCTAGCTTCCGTTGCCAAGTCTGCCTTCCCGCTGACCTGGGGGGAGGAGGAGAGTGTGACAGAACTTCAGGGGCCCAAGCCTTATCTCAGCCTTCCCTCCACACGGGGATTCCTTGGATTGGGGCTCCAAGCCTGCGAACTGGCGTCAGGTGCAGAAGACCTGTAGGAGTGAAAGTGCCACTTCGGACTGAACCGTTCCCGGGGGTTGGCACACTGGGAACTGGAGGTGTTTGTTATGGAGCCCCCTAGGTCATGTAGGAGCATTCCTCTGGCAGCCTGGGCAACGGAGTCCTACAAAACATTTTTTAGGTTCTTTTTAATTTTTTTTTAACCTCTGGTATCTGTTGTGTCCCGAGAGCTGATCACAGTCTCCACACATTACAGGAGGATGTTGTGATCCTGTGGAGGGTTGAACACCTGGTTAGCACTCCATCCTCATGGACAGGAAACACAGGCGTGAAAAACCAAATCTATTATTTAAATAAACCCTAGAAGGGTAAGTTGGGTTCTGTAGAAATCCTCTAGGTTGTCAGACAGGGCCTGGTGATGAAGCCCCTGTGAAAAATGCTGTTCTGCCTGTAAGAGAGGGAATGGCACATGCTGTGTGCATGGAGGGAAAAGATGCTCAAATGTCTCTGGACAGTCTACTCTGTTATGACCAAGTTCTGTTTGCAAATATTTGTAACAGAGCCTGACAGGATTAGGGCTAGGGAAGGGTTTCAGGGCATTGACTGTAGTCATACAAGTGAGACTAGTGACTGAAACTTGTTTAACTTAAGCTAAGTCTTGGGGACCTTCCTTTTGCTGGGACAGCCACTTTCTCTGGTGTGACTACTGATCTTGAGAGCTGTGAGCATTCCGTGGATGGCAGGAGCGCTGCAGTTTCACTGCTGAGACTTGTCTTACTCTGCTTAGTCATTACCACATGGAGGCAATGAGTGGGGAAACCTGTGTTACCCAAACTCTGTGAAACCTGCGTGCATCCTGTATTTCTTCTCCCATGGCTGATGGTTACCAGAAATACTCTGTTCTGAGAGGAAGCTGTTGCTCTGCAGCATCTTTGAAGGATGGCACAAACTCCTAATTATGACAGTGAGGTCACTGGAGTTCAAAATAACGTGGGGTGTGGTTGGTTGGGTTATTTTCCAAGTCCCTGGAGGGTCAGCAAGGATCAGAAAAGAAAATACAAGTGCATAGCAGAGTAATGGCTGTTTGGTTGCATGTGTCTTAAAGCCTGCTTGTGTGTATAATTGGCTGTGTTGGAGCCTGAAATTCTGCCCTGGCATGGCTGGGAACAGCACTGGTGGAAGGCTCAGAGCTGCAGGCTGCTGCTGCTGGTCCCAGAGAAGCAGCAGAACTGTGCAGCTCATGTTGATGTAACATTCTTGTGCTGGAGGAGAGGTAATGGCTGTTTGGTTGCATGTGTCTTAAAGCCTGCTTGTGTGTATAATTGGCTGTGTTGGAGCCTGAAATTCTGCCCTGGCATGGCTGGGAACAGCACTGGTGGAAGGCTCAGAGCTGCAGGCTGCTGCTGCTGGTCCCAGAGAAGCAGCAGAACTGTGCAGCTCATGTTGATGTAACATTCTTGTGCTGGAGGAGAGAGACGTGAGGGAGAGGAAAGGGGTCTGGGTAATAAATTCTGCCCTGGCATGGCTGGGAACAGCACTGGTGGAAGGCTCAGAGCTGCAGGCTGCTGCTGCTGGTCCCAGAGAAGCAGCAGAACTGTGCAGCTCATGTTGATGTAACATTCTTGTGCTGGAGGAGAGAGACGTGAGGGAGAGGAAAGGGTCCTGAAAGGTAATAGTGCAATATCGACACAGCTTTCCTCCTGTACTGGGTCAGTCTTACAAATTGCCACTTTTCCCTGGTGATGTTGTTGAAAAGCAATTGAAGCTGAAGGGATTGTTTCATGACTTCCTGCTGCTGAGAATCAATCGGTCTGGTCACAAACTCCAGGCGTTTGTAGTGACTGTCCCAGGTGCCACAGTGATGGGGGAGGATGGGGTCAGCTCTGGACATACCCCTCACCTTTCAGCTGTCAAACAGTATGATACATAGGGCTACACTCATTACTGTTCAAGTGTTCTATGTTAGAATTTAATTTCTCAAACGTTTAAAAAAAAACAGCAAAAAAAATGGTGCTAAAACTTCCCCCCTGAGCACGCACGGTGAGACTGGTCATGCAGGCGTCAGTGCCAGGCTTTCCAATATCCTCTTTCTTTTTCAAATGTTTGCCCTGTTCTGTGTCTTCAACAGTGTATAGTGTTTTCCTGATTTCAGTTTCTTTGACTAGGGGATGACTAAGGGGTGGGGTGGGGAGGGTTAGGTGTCATTTTTTAAAGAACAGAATTTTAGGATTGAGTGACTTGGTTGGTTTAAGCCTGAAGTGGGACAGATGGTCTGGGACAGGGGAAGTTTTATCCTCTCCCACTTCCATTTTCCCAGTCAGTCTGTTTAAAACACAAAAAAAAAATCTATAAAAAAAAAAACAAAACACAAAAAAATACCCCAAACAAAAATGCCTCTAAATATGTACTGTGTACTTGTCGTGTTGCAGTGAGAAGAGAAGCTGGCAGGTCAGAACCACTGGTCTGCTGCCCGAGGAACAGGCCTTCAGCTTTAGTCCCATAAGGGTCCAGCTATAAAATCAGTTGAAAAGTGTGTCAATAGCTCAGAGAAATGTGTGACAAGGACAGGTGGTCTCAGGAAATAATCCCATTTCTAGATCATTACACGGCAGCTATGCATAAGGATGAAAGAGGTGAACTAGAAACAGGGTGTACTTTGAGTTGCCCCAGGGTGGTGGCAACCAAAATCAGCGACCCAGTGGTGTAAGGATTCCTCTAGGGCTGCTTGGCTGGGACAGCAGGTTAGAACTGCTCCTGAAAACAGCTGTTACCTGGTTTGATCCGGATTAACTCATCCTTAGAAGCAAGTGCCTTATGGTCTAGGAGGGCTTATTCTCATGACAACCACAACTGAGAAATAATCTCACTGCAATGAAGAAATGTCTTTGTTTTCCAGTAACTACAGGAGAATGTCTTTGATCACTGGAGTCTGTCAGTGTTGGAATGTTTCCACTGTGAGGTTCTTAATTTTTTCATATTGTTCAACAGTCAATCTCAGCTGAGGCCATTTCAGTTTGGGAACATTTTCTGGTCAAAATATCACATATCTACAATTTATCAGAACAAGAAAAAAATCTGTAAGGAAATCTACGTTAATTTTAACCTTTTCACAGAATAATTTGTTTCCATAGTACATTAACAAACCTCTGCAATCTTCACTGACACTTAGTGCTGTTTTCTGTTTGTATTCTGGAAATTACATGTTGTTTTCTTGGTTTGTTTTTTTTTTTTTTTTTTTTGGTTAATTTATTTCCTTAAAGCAGGAGACCTCTTTTGACCTTCAGTGCAGAGATGTCAGACCAATTCTTTGTATTACACTTGGTTGCCTCCTACCTATATAATAACTTCTGAGTGTAAATAATTGAACTCTATCCTCTAATGAAGTATTGTAGAGAATAAATCATAATGGATAAAGACTTTTTGTACTGTCCTTTTTGTATGGGCTCTCACTGGCTTTGTGGGGGATAAGATGAAATCATTCTCATCTGCAAACAATATGTTCTAGGTGTGAATAACACATCTCTACATGACACCTGTCCAGAACCAGGGAGGTTGCCAGAGGGGGTTGGCAGCTGTCTGGAAGCACAGAAATAGCCCAACAGGCTTGCTAGAAGAAAGCCATGAAAAACAGTAGGAAAATTAAAACCAGGTATTAAATATGTTTGATTAATAAGGGCACAGCAGTGTCTTTGTATCCTGAAATAATGTTTGCTTGATGACAACTTTCTATCAGTTATTGTGATAGTGAATATATTTATATTTAAAGCACATACAGAATTCTGTGAATCTGTCTTAAACCATCAAAATTGTGCTTTGGTTTTTTTGTCTTTTAAAATGGACTAATGAGAACAGATAGTCTGTAGTTTGAGGCCCTGGTCTTCAGGTTATACAAAAATAGTATTTCAGAAAAAAAGAAGTACCCATCTTTCTAAATACTTCCTATGTTAATGTTTGGATTGGGACAGGATTAACTGATTTGTATAACCTCTGGCTCAAATGTTTTTTTCCATACACTCTCAGGTTATTGTTAATTTTTTCTCTATGGCAGAGATCCTACGTTTTCTTGTAGCTCTTGAGAAGGACAGCCCTGGAGATCAAGAAACACTCGTAAGACCCCAAAACCCACCAAACAAAGCAAGGGGAGGGAGGATAGTTTTGACTTATATTTGCCTGAGAAGCTCATTGACTGCAGTGCAGCTACAAAGGAAAAACCTGTTTTCAGTCCATATGCTGCTGGTAGTGGTGAGGCTGGAAAGTGACCCCCCAAAGCAGTGTGAGGAAGGGGTCAGGAGGGCTCTGGCTAATGGGAGTTCCAGGTGACTCCAGTTACCTGTGTAACTGCCATCCACTGCTGTCACGTGCCCAGGGAAGTGAGGGAGTATATCCTCTCAGCTTTGTTGGGAGAATACAGTGATTTTTTGGTGTATTTTTATATCACATGCTTTTCCTTACTTGATTTTTTGGCTTCATACTGAATCTGTTAGACATAGAACCTCTGTCTGGTGCCTTTCACCAGAGGCTGTTCTGTGCACACTGTGTTCTGTCCCCACAGGAACACTCAGCAGCTCACAGGGAGAAGGAGCCCAGGTAGAAGGGGGTGCATATGGCTGCACACAGAAATAGGTCAATCCAGGCTAAATATAAATGAGGATCATTCTCCTGAAAACACTTTCTTCTGTTGTTACTTCTGTTTGAAATAAGAAACAAAATGAGTTAGTCACGTAGTTCTCACTTCTTTCTAACATCAGTTTACAGTAAAAGGTTAGGAGGAATTTCTACAGGATACTTCAAATGAGGGATACTTGAGCTTTTTTATGCTCAACGCAAAAAATTTGGTTTTGCCTAATTGTGACTGAGAAATGTCACTCTTTGCAGATAAAAATGAAACCCAGAACACTTGCCCACGCAGCCCAACGAGTTACTGTTTGTACTGACCCATGTGTTACGAGGATAGCTCTGAAACTGAATTGCAGTACATGGTGCAAGATGGCACAGAAGTTCATACACTGGGTGTGCTACATTCTGGGAAAAGATGACTTGTAAATATGTTGGATGATCACTCACGAAAGAGAAAGCACAGAAGACTGTTACCATGTTCCTTAAAACAAGTGTTTGTTTCTGCAGCTTGAACAATATCCAGATTGTTCAACCATGGTTTTTTTCTTATAGTCAGC